GGAGGAGGCGGAGGAGGAGGACGAGGAGGAAGAGGAGGAGGAGGAGGGGGAGGAGGATGGAGGAAGGAAAAGGACCATGATGGAAAGGTGGACAGGAGGGAGCGGGTTGACCGCCGCGCGGCGTCCCGCAGGGCCCTTCGACGGACGTCAGTTGCCTCAGCTGTGGGCCGGGGGTCTCGAAGCCAGATGGCGGCCAACCTCGACGAGAGGGGGAGGACGTGGGGATGGAGGCGGGATGAAGCATGACGGATGAGGGATGAGGGGTGCGGGAGCAGGGAGGAAAGAAGAAAGGGTGATGAGGAGGAGTCGGGCGTGGCGAAGACCGAGGAGGAAGAACACGAGGAGTGGGGAATGACAAGCTAGGTGCGCTCGCGTCATATCTGACATCCTACCCCTCCCTCCCATCCCTTACCAGATCCCCTCTCTACTCGCACAGTCGGATGTCGAACAGGGCAATGATCCCGAAAGGGTACGCGATGCATTGTAGAGCACGGCATGGCATGGCGTAGAAGAGCACCGGGAAGCGTAGTATCAACCTAGCATTGCATTGCATGCCGTGGCATGGCACGGGAAATGACGCCAGCGCTGCAGCGGGAGCACGAGTCGAAACGAGCGGAAACGCGGAAATGAGGCCAGCGCTGCAGCGGGAGCATGATTCGGAAAGAGCGGAAGCACGCCGGAATCGGCCCGGGAGGCTTCCCGGACGCCAGAAGCAGAAATTCAGCATTTCCAAAAGAACAATTAATGCGTATTGGAATGGTTTTTTTCGGCGCCGCCTCGGAACTCGCTTTTCCGGCGGCGGCCTGAACCGGCTCCAGACCCGGCCTGGGCGCCGGCCCGGGCGCCGCCGGAGTCCGGCCCAGGCGCCGGCTCGGGCGCCGGCCCAGGTGTCGGCTTACCTGTGCTCAGTGGAATTTTTAATTCCTGGTGGATGTGTGGGGGCGCTGTCGGGGTGGCGCCCTCGTAGGGCTGCGTTTCTCGAGCACATGGGCGGGGGTCCCCGAGGCCATAAAATAGAAAAATCGGCAAATGCCAAAGAGAGCGGCGAGGAGGGAGCGGAGGGTGAGAGGAGGAAGGCGACTGGCCCTGGTAAGCCTAGTAAATGTGGGAGCAGCAAGTACGTTAGCCCAAGCAGCAGTGGGCGAAACCACTTCTTGAGCCCCCACTTTTGTGTGCAATGCGAAATCACAGCATGGTCTGTTACTGCGCCCCACCCCACCACCACCCCTTAAGGGTTCATGTTTGTGCGCCCCCTCGCATGACATGAAGGGGGTGAACATAGTCAGCAGCATGATACATGTATTTTTGACGCTCGAAGAAGATACCCCAACAAAAAGAAGTGAGGGGGTGGAAAACACATGTCAGGGGGAACAGCATGTAGTAAGGATGGCTGGTTCGCCCAAGGATGTTGATGGCTGATCCGGCCTACACCATCCCATTTCGCCCGTTCCTCTCCACATGCTGCTGCTGCTCCTCCTCATCCACTTCATCATCGCACGCCCCGCCTGACTTCCCACTTCCGCCTCATATCCCGCCCCTCCGTGCATTCCAGCTCACTTCCACAGCCGTTTGTGGCCAAGCATGGCGCGCCGTTTGTCGTCGCCCTCTGCCGCCAGAGCCCATCCTGTCCTAGGGCTCTATGTCGGCGATTGCTTGTCGAGTCGCAATGTGGCTGGAGCAGAAGGTCCCCGTGGTTCAAAACCGACTCAGCCTCTCCGAAAATCAACCCCGAACCCCGATATTTGGATTTAGGTAGTTGGTGTGCGTGTGTAAGGGGGGGCGATTGGAGAGGCGCGTTGGTTTTTGACCCTGTCAGGCGACAGGATATATTTGGCCATGGACCGTGGCGCGTGGGCACTGGCAGCTTTGTGGACTAACCAATACGGAGGCGAGAATTTGTATGTGATTTCGAAGACAACACATGGGACGTGGTGGTCATACCGTCATACATTTGGTCATGTTGATGCCTGGGTAGTACGCTTCGTTCGAGGTAGCGGTCTTCTGGACATGGGCATGCCAATTAAGAATTTGCATTTGTGTTCCCGAAAAAGTGGTGAGTGGGGCAAAGGGCCTTTAGCCCTCTGGTGTGGAGTCGCACATTTCGTCGACAACGACATGGGATACATCATGAGCGTCTTAGACGACAAAGAGGGCAACAGCTTCGTCGCCATGATGAAGGCGAACGGCTTCGCGGTACAGTACACTGGTTTACGCCCAGTCGGCAACCGCGGAGATGTGCCAAAACGATTTCGTGATAGAGTGCTCCACTTGCCGTCTTGGAAAGATATTGCCCGCGCGTTGAAGTTGCCATACGTCGAGGAGATGTGGGAGCTTCTCTGTGAAACTGGTCCTCCGGCTTGCCCTCCACCGCCAAAGCATCCTCACCTGATGATCAAAGAGTTCGTGGAGCCAGAGTCCCCGAGGCCTGCCATCGGCGCGCGGGCATCATCATCGTCAGACCACCAGAGGCAGCTCGACACGCTGGCAGCCACAGTCAATCAGCTGCAGCAAGTGGCGACAGATGTGGCTGCGACAGCCGCGACGCAGGCGCACGCGGCAGTGGCAGCAACAGCCGGCGGGGCGAGGTGGACTGGATGGCAAAGCTCAGAGTCCCGAGGATACCATTGGGACCACAAAAAATATCTTAGGGCAGTTCAGCATGCGGCTGGCAATTGGCCGCCGCCAGGCGCCCGGCGCGTTGTCGAGCAGAGTGCAATGTGTCGGAATTGCGGCAAGAATCAGCCAGGTGTGCAGGCCATGCTGCGATTGTCAGCGTGGAGACAGGCATTGCCCGCATCATGACAAGTAGAGCTGAATCGGCTGAGAAAAAAAACAGACTCGTTGACGCTTCACGTCTCCCCACCAGCCCATCCAGATACCCCAAGATGGCCTCCAGATGGCATAATGTAGGTCAAGATGGCTCAAGATGGTTCCCACGATGCTCCAAGAGGCCCCAAGAACGTTCCAAGACGGCTCCAAGCGGCCAAAGGACCCCCTTAGGAGTCCCCGAAGACGAGATGTTCCAGCAGGGCCCTTGAGGAAGAGTACGAGGGGCGCCAGGGCCACCAAGAGGATAACGAGGATGAGGAGGAGAAGACATAGGAAGAGGAGGAGGAGGATCGAGACATGTGGATGCAAGTAAGTCGTGCGTTTCCCAGTCTGTAGCATCATCATCGCATTCTACCGCCCCGCTGCCATTTGCAGCGTTCAGGACTTTAGCGGCTGCAGCGGCCTCTCAGATTGAAGAGCTCTCTTTCTCCTGCAACTGGCTGCGTCGGCCATGACTGCCGAGCGGGCCGCAGGCGGTGGCGACGCCGCGAGGCCCAAGAAGGCGGCCAAGGGCAAGGGCTCCAGCAAGGGCTCTGGCAATGGGGGCACTGGGTCGACCACCGTCGGCACGACAATATCCAACCATGCGTCTGCGAGCCTTCTCCAGACAGTTCAGGATTCGTTGAGCGTGATCAAGGCCCACCCTACGTTCCTGGACATCGACAAGCTGAACCCTTTGAAGATCGAGGAGGGCGGATCGCAGACTCCTTTCAAGCAGGCCGATTGCGAAATGGTCTTGAAGGTGGAGGGCGACGGCGTCACGTCCTACAGATGCGGCGGCAACTTCTTCTGGCAGAATACGTGCTGGTTTCCAAATCCGAAGACGCCGGTAAATCATGGACAAGTGAAAGAAAAGCAGAAGAGTCTGGTCCCTGATGAGCCTCCGTGCCGCCTGGACTTCGCGACTGTTATTGCGCTGGACTCGCGCGACGTGCCTGCCATGAGTCATCGTGGCGCACTTCAGCGCTTGTCTCCGCGCGAGCCAGCATTGGCCCTTCTGTTCAGCATCCACGAGGCCATCGCCAAGAAGGTCGATGATAACACCTTGCTCAAGTGGCGCAAGCTCGTCCTCTCAGCACCCTTCGAGTTCGAAGTTGTCAAGGAAGGCAACGACGACAGGTTCTGGAGGGCGCGCAACGTGAGGCAGAACTGCACCCAGAATGGGTTGGTCGTTCGGCTTTCGACCCGACAATGGATATTCGACGCGATCGGTTTCAAGGAGGGCGAGGAGAAGGTGGTGTCCAAGAGCCCCAGCGCCATCCAGGTGGCAAAGCTCTACCAAGATCGCATGGACTACGCCAAGAACACCGAGAAGGTTACGATGCAGCGATGACGATACATAAGCGTGTTCTGAGTCTTCCCATCGCCGCCGAGTGGTTGGAGTGGGCCGACGAGGCCCCCACCGATCAGTCTCCTTGG